AATTTTAAATCAATGTATATTTTTAAATAATACAAAGAAATGTTTTATCATAATATTAAATAAATTTATATTTTTTATTAATGGGTACTATAGAAAAAAATACAAATTTACATGTACCTCATCCACAAAAACATTTTCTTTGTCCCTTATTCATGCATAATGGATACACGTTTAATTTTAAAATTAATAATTTCATTTTATCCATTTGAATTTTAATTATGTATTTATACGCTTATTTTTACAATTATGTATTAGAAAACAAATCTTACCTTTACAATCCATTGGCGTATTAACAGTACTGGTGCTATCTTGATTAGTTGTTTCTAATTGCCATGAATTTGTTTGAGGCACTGCTAAAATATAAATAAAAATACCAAAAGATAAGTAAATATAAAAGAAACTGAAAAATGTATGAGTACATTTAATTACATAACTAAAACACACATAGACACCCTTGAATCACAAATGTATTTTTTAACACAAATTTTAATAGAAATAAGGGTAACAATATATATTTTTCAYACAAATAAAGAGTTATGACTTATACCTATATATTGAAATGTTTTCAATACACTAGTTTGGTTAAATATTATYTATTTTAAATTATTTACCAGTGTGATTGGTGTCCCCTTGTGAAGTTCCAGGCTGGGATAATTCGTTTTCATCAAATTCTTCTTCTTCCTCTTCTAAAGCCATATCTTCAACACTATCGTCATATGACATTTCTGTCAAACACTCTTGTCGGTCACCAGATATTGATTCTACTTTAGGTTTAATTATCTGATTTTCAGTTGTCTTAAGCACTTCTTTGTCTGGTGAACATGATTTACGGTAAGGTTCTGCTTTAATCACCTTACTGACTGAAGAAGGGATGTTATTGTTATTAGTTGGCGATTTTTCTATTCCCTGTGATTCAGATTCAGTCATACTATCATCACCATTATCTGGAGGATGATCATCTGATCCATTTGTACGTTGTAATTTCCGTTTCTTACTAGTTGGAGATAAACTACCCTCTCTTGGTCTTGAATATGTACGCACAGTTTCATTTTGGCTCCAAATAGTAGGCGAGTTAGAACTAACTGAAGATAAAGAAGGTGGTTGTTTTCTATGGTCAAATCGTTTAGATACTGGGTCTTCAAAATCTGAATTATCACGAACACCAATACCAGCGCTTTCTGTCAACCCTTTGATTTGAAGAGATTCAGCAGCTTTCAAGAATGTACCGAGTTCTTCTTGAGAAATATTGACTTCGCCTCGATACATATAATCTAACATTGACTTTAATTCTTGAAATTTGATATCTTTCAAAATTAAAATTGGATGTTTTTCTTGATGTTGACTTAATAAAACCTTAAACAAAATGCAAAAATAATGTTAGGATTTATTATGAAAAAACAAGTTTAATCTACAAAGTCTTTAGAAATAGGTATTGTTAGAGCTTACAAAAATATCAGTAAATCAAAGATTTTTTTTTACTTAAGTAATAAAAAATATAATTTATTTTAACAAATTTCATATCCAGTGGGTGTCTATTATATTACGTAACTAATAGTTTTAACCTACCTAGGCAAATATGCATAACAAGATAGGTAATAGAGTAAATATTTTATCAGRAACTTACATGCATTTTTTTCTATTTGGTAGTATCAGAAAATGTATTATTCAAACAATAATTGATAGTCATCAGAAATATTTAGAATCAATTGATTATAATAATATAGATACCTATTATAACATAATTCAATTAACAAATAATGAAAATACTCCAGAAAAAAGTGATCGAATTTAAAAAAAATATAGGATTTAGAAATATACTTATAAA